TGAATGTGAAATACGAAGAGAATGTAAATGATAGATTATTTCTTGTTCGTGGGAAAGACAGAGGAAAAGCAGCCTGGCTTTATGTCCTAGTAAAGAGAACTGTTTTTCCCTTGTTCTTGAGGCGGACTCAAGGTGGTAGTCTTAACGTTGCTAACTTTGGCCAAGTCCTCAAATCTGGTTGGGGAGAGGATCCTCCCGGGAGCGTAAGAGTAGAATTTGCCGAGAAAGCAAAGACCTTCCCTGACATACACAGCTTGACAGTACTTCATGTGGCGAGTAAGAGTAGTAGCCCCGAGATTGTAGAACTGCTGGTGAAGTACAATGCAGATATAAACGGATGCGATGGAGATGGCTTTACACCTCTGCATTTAGCAGCGATACATGGCAACTTCCGTGTTGTTAAAAAGCTGGTTGAGCTCAACGCTGATGTCAACTTGAAAGTGGATGGAAAGGATGCAGCTGACTTGGCTCATATGAACGAAGAAACAGAAATAGAAGAATTTCTTATATCTAAGAGAAGCTTTCCCTGAAACGAGTCAGTTGCTTAATCGGTGCAAAGTCAGTCGGTCAAAACGCGCTAAAAAAGGCAGAACATGGCTCAAGGCTCATCGAGGAAAGTTTTAGATAACTTACCCCGCATACTATAAATGTCGATCTTTTAAGAAATGCACCGTTTTTTGTGCTACAAATAGTCAACACAAATCAAGGGTATTTTGCTAGACCCAACAATGGGTTGCTTCTAAACGCATGTTATTTGATGATCACAAAACTGAGATTTCAGTCGATATGACGCTAGTACTTCCAGTACTGCGTTAACCGACCTTTTAGTTTCCTTTTTTCAATTTTAAACGGTGAATGATGATATATGATTTGCTTCATGTTTTTGAAAATTTTTCTCTTTATACGCTCAGAAATCAATTTGAAGTAGCCTCTAAATAGGCATAGAAGCAAACAGAGAAAAAAATAAAAGGAAAAAAGAGAAAAAAAGGCGTTGAACGTTATATTCGCTTTGTTTGGCTTTTCAACTTGTCTATCAACTTAATTGGTCTCATAAGTTATACGTATACAGGAATAAAAGAATAATAATAATAATAATAAAAAAGGACCAAGTGGGATTGCGCGCACGGACACAAAATCCCACGCGAGGCGTAACCCGAAATCTAAAATATATATATATCCGATAAAAAAACTAAAATTTGATTTAAATAATTCAACTATGATTAAATTTAGATATTGTACAATACAGGCGTTAAATTTCATATTTGATTCATGGCTCCAGGTGTTCAAACCTGTCAGATCCTGCTGGAGAATATCACAGTCCTTAGCTGTCAGAATAGTACGAGATAAGAGACTAATTCAAGATACGAGGTTGGGGAAGCATCCAAAAATGTAGACATGCGTCTTTCTCAAACGATCCTGACAGTATTTGCTTAAAGCACCAAAAGCCACAGAGGCCTCAATTAACGGTAAGCTAGAGAGAGAGAAGAGAATTTAATAAACAGTACATGAAAACTGATTGCTTGCTCGCGGAGTATTCAGATCACGCGACACGCGATTTGAGTGAGATCTAGAGTATAACATCTCGTGACTTTATATTAAGATCATTCTAATCGAGTGCTGAATCCGGTGAAGGAAAAACTAAGATATAAACGTTGACTGTTTAGAAAGGAAATTGAGCTCGTTAGTGGTGTCATTACGCTAACTGAAACAAGATGCACAGAGGGCTCGATCTTTTGAATATTCCCCTCTAAACTCTTAAGTTTTCTACACTGAATCAAAATGGTGAAACGAAGATTCAGGGACTGTAGCGAGTGACCAGAAAATGAGGAAGCACTAGATAAGAAGAAACAAAAATTTGTAGTTATTCCATGTTTATTTAGCGAAGGTGAATGTCGGTTTCGATTTCGTTTTGGATTGAAGATTCGTTCATGATGTAATATTTGCTTGCTCGATTTGAAACTGCTGTGCATTCCACCTAAGCGAAACTCAAATATTATAAATCAGCACCACCTTAAATTTTAAAGCTCGGTTCTTGTGTCGGGTGGCTGTAGAAGGAATAAGCTACCGTAGCTGACATCTAACTGATCTGCAAATGCAGAAAGGCTTGCACAAATCCATTTTGCTATTAAGCCTTTTATTTTGAGGAGATAACTGAACGTAAAAATTCAATGTCAGTCAATCAGAATGCAACGGCTTGAACTTATTCCTATCTTAAAACCTCCAGGAACCTCTTTCTTTTTTTTGTGTTTAGTTGCTGCAAAGTTTGTTAAATTTAGCTTACATGCATGACTGAAATGTGCTTACGACACATGCTTTCAAGCCGGAACTTAGATAAATCACGCTATTTTATTTCATATCACTCCAGTAAACACCGTGACGCAACATTTAGAACGCGAGAATGTAATCATGAGCTCTTTTAATAAATGTTAGAACGAGGAACTGCTGCTAATCTACTCTTTCACAGGCCGGTGCTCAGACACGCGTTGAAAGGCAAGACTCCGGAAAGATAAATTATACAATTTTTTCAAGTGTTTCCGGAACAGGAAGTACTGCTCGTTCGCTTAAACACCCGCTCGTAACCAATACAAAGGCAAAAAAATGTGAATGAAAGAGAACATCAAGTGGGTAAATGGTAATAAGAGTGAGAAATCTTGATGAAGTAAAAGCTGAATTTTCCCACCAAGCAAAAGGTCATGTGGCATTTCCTTGTGCAATCAGATAAAGGGCTTTGTTGCACTCAAGCTCGTCACGCTATACCGTAACAGCTCTTACGTAAGCTGTTTTTTATCATGATTTTCTTTTCGTCACATACAAAACATTTTATCTTTTAGAGCAGTCTCCAGATGGGAATTACGCGCAAAACTGCAGTGTTGTATAATACGAAAACTAGCCTCCCGGTTAGCTCAATTGGTATAGCGCCGGACTGTTGTGCGGGAGGTCGAGAGTTCAAATCCGGCCGGACCAACACTCAGGGTCTTTAAATAACTGAGTAGAAATTGCTGCCTTTGTAATAATTTCTGCAAACGGTTGAACTTTCTAGTCTTCTCGGATAGGGACGAGAAATGGAGGTCCCGTCTCACAACCCCTTATGTGTGATTTAAATTTTTGGGACGTTAAAGAACCCACACACTCCTAGAAAAGAGTAGGGCAAGTAGTGCCCGGTGTTGTGGTCTATCTTTGTGCAGTGTCTATCCACGGTGAATTGCGGGGAGGGGTGGTGCCTCGCATGGACCTTGTGTTCCGTTCGCACTCACACTTCCGGGTCTACTCACACCCGGTAAAGTCGTTAACAAACAAACAAACAAACAAAATCATTGTGAAGTAGGATCTCTTAATTAAACGACAACTGCCCTCAGGTAACGGAAGAATTTAATAACAATAAAATGCAATATTGGATCAAATCCCTTATGTGCTCGTGAAACGTAGCATGCAATTTTGGGGTAGTTTTTGAGCAGTCTCCAGATAGGCATTACACGCAAAAAAGCAGTGTTGTGTATTTTGAAAATGGTCAGTCTTTGTGAAAAACGATTTGGTAATCATCAAACAAGAACCGCCGCTATCAGGCAACGGATTATATTCCATTACAATAAAATACAAATACAATCGAAACGATGTTCTCACGACTTGCAAAGCAATCTCACCGCAAATTGTCAGCGAATAACTCCACTGCAGACTAGATCAGCGTGTTTACGAGGAAAAACATGGCGGTTGACTTAGGAAATTCAGTAATATTGCGTGGCAGGCCATTTTTTAAGAATTCGAAGACGCTTTCCGTTTTGTAGTGAACTTCAGGCGGGTATCGATACTTTTTACGTTCATCACTGTGGGTTCGGCTGATTTCTGTCACGAAATTTAGGTAGGCCTTTGCATTGTGACACTCGAAAAACTAGGTCCTCGGTTTGTTACGGGCGATTTTAGAAGGAATGAGCTATCGTAGTTGGTATTTAGCTGAATGCACCTTTTATAACTCAGCGAAGGCAAATGTTAATTTCGTTTTCGGTTTGGACCATAGCTTCTCCAATGTAGTACCTCGTTTTTAAGCTGCTTTGCATACCAAGTTTTGTATTGTTCTTTCGGATGGTAATTAAAGGAATATACTATTGAAGATGGACATCTAGATGACTTATGGAAGCAGAAGTATATGCACCCAATCCGGGTCATGAGGTCCATCTCATCTCATACGTTTAGGAGACGACTGAAATAAAACAACAACATAAAATGCAGCGAGATAGGAATACTTTATATTTTGGAACCTCCAGCAACACTGTGATTTGTGGGTGTCAAGCTGCCGAAAAGTTTGTTAGTTTTGGCTTACTATTTGCATGATTGAAACTAAACTCTTACGTTTTTAGCGAATGGTTTTCATGTTTAAGTTGTGCATGGTTTTTCGTCCCTTCCTTCTTCGCAGACTGGGTGTTATATGAATGAAATTGCTGCTGAAGTTGGGGGCTACAGCTCTGCAATAACCATCTTTAAGTACTGACAAATCTCCTTCCTCTAAATTATAGAAGTCTTCTCCCATCATTACTTTAGACTGTAACTTACAGCGCCTACATTATCCCTAACTTTCTTTTAACTTTGTCATGGCTATGTTCATTACAGATCTCACCCTGAATCGTAGAATTTGTCACTATGGCCGTCCTCGGCAACGACAAAAGATGGCTTGTAACTCTTGCTGCTTTAAACAAGGTCCTGGCCCCTGTTTTACGGGCTATAGTGAAACAAGGAATGGACTACTTCTACGAATTCGTAGATAATCACCTTAATGGCCTGCTGACACCATGCAGTCTAAAAACACTGACCAAAACGGATGTATGCCATCTGGCAGCCACTCCGAGTCTGGCTTCTGCGCTTAAAGACTTGAATTTTGGTAACATTAACAACAATTCTGGAAAAAACAAAGCGGCCTGCAACTGCACTGTCAACAGCTCAGTTGATCTTGCTAAGCTTTACCTCCCAAACTACCTTGCAAAGTTCTCGGCATTTGACAAATCCATGGACTTGTCTGCCGCTCTTAATCTTTTGGGATATAGAAAGTACCGCAGCCAAATATTCCTTTCTTCCGATCCTTTGCATAATATCCAGTCAATGGCGGATGATGTCCGAGAGAATGTTAGGAATCCAGCCAGCCATTTTGATGAGAGCCACTGGTCCCAAATCGTCTTTGATCAATGCTTTGACAAGATTAAGGCCCTAGTCCAGTGTCTGCCTCTAAATGCCGTTAAAGAGAAGGAGCTTTTGGATCAACTATCCGAATGGAAAACCATAGGTTAGTAACTACTTTCAGCATCATCATAAAAGCCATCCTAAAGATAACGCGTTATTTCTATCAATCTGTTGGTAAGAACGTTGATACTTTAGGCCAACCCAAGTGGACCTTAGGATGGTAGAGGCGTGTTTAGGGACACAAGGCATCCTTCCCAGTGATAAATTATCCATTCATTCCTTCATTCATTCATTTAGTTATTTGTGTGTTTATCTTTTAATTCCTTTTTTATTTATTCCTATTTATTCATGTTTCAAACTCATTTTTATCTTATTTCTTTATTCATTTATATATCTCTACGTTCTATTTTTATCATTATAAGGTTTCCAACTGATTGTTGATGAAGATGTGAAAGACCTGATGGAACAGTTTCAAAATGATAAACCAACGAGGGACGAGATAGAGAAAATCATGGAAAAGCACTCAACCCGCAATCGCACTTTCTTCTCCGAAAGAATGGATACATTTCAAAATGTTGTTTTAAGTGAGCTGCAAGGTAAGTTTAGTATCAGCGATCAATCACTTTCTGGTGCGAACACTGCGAGAAATGTTAGTTTAGTTCTCAGTTCATGTCCGATTGATTTTCAGACTAAGTTGGCATACAGATTGCCCTCAGTTACTTGGTGGGGAGAGGGTGCGTTGCGTAACGAGACAAAAAAAAACGGATGCGAAAAAGAAAACGAAATGTTCCCTCGACTATAAATGAACTAGTTTTGGTGGTTTCCTGACACAAATTACAAAGTTTTCCCCCACCACTCAACCGGGTACATAAAGTGTTGATTTCTGAGTGTGTTGTACAACTGAGCCACCGTTCCGTGTTGCTTACAAAAGTATATTGCAACTGAATAAAAGTAAATACTCCAAAGCCGGACACGGAAAGCCCTAAAAACCAGCAGATAGAAAATACGGCGAACGTGTACGCCCAACCAAGGCAGTGGAGCTTCCCTCGAGATTTTGGGGTACAATATACACAAGTAGATAACAGTTACTTAACGACGTATGTGAGTACAACTCCAAATAAAAAATGTGAACGGGACAATATCTAAGAAAAGTAAATAAATAAATAAATCCGACAAAAACGAAACCTTACAACTCAACACGGCGAAGGCTAACCGTAGAATGCCTCACCTTATTAACGACCCCAAATTACAAGCTATGATCCCATAACTCTTCGCCCACCTCGCACCTTGCACCCACCTCCAGTCCATTAACTTACGGTAATTGGGATTATCACAAATTACATTTTAAGACGACCCCCTTTTATTATATTGGGTTCTAACTTGGGTCACATGCACAAAGCCGGATTAAGAGGTATTGTGCCATATATTACGATAAGAATAACTTTTCGATGTGCCAACTCAGCTAATTTTGCAGGTAATTCAGCGACTGACTTCTAAGAACACAAAATCTAATACTACAAACTGTATTAGATGGCTTGAAGAATTTTTTTTGTCTTTTTCTTTACCACCTGTACGCCTGGGAAATGATTCAGAAATCAAAGCTATCACTCTTCATCAAGAGAGCAGTAAGAGTGTCCACGGTTCGGGATCAAGCGTTTCTCGCACAGAGGCCACTTCAAAATCCAAAGAGATCCGCGACACCAAATTAAAGGTGACCTTAGCATTACTGATGATTATGGTCAAAGGTTTAAAGTTCTTCGTTAACGAGAGTTATGGCTTTCAACAACAGATAGTGAACTAAGTGAGATGAATATTGAGGTTTATAATCCACCAAATATTTTTGCGCGCGATTGGTGTGAACGCGGCAAGTGACAGACAGAATATGCCCCATTTACATCCCTCTAAGGTACGACCTGCTTTTTAAACCTTCGGTTCAATACAATAAAAATGTTCGTGTAAAATTTAATACTAGACGAGAATGTGTTTTGCCTTTCTCACAGAAGAAGAGCTATGTTTGTGAGTTCTGTAATTTGTAATAGGGAACATTGAAAAGTCCGTGAACATCCCATATGGATCACCAAACCGAAATGAGGACGTATTTTTCTCTCAAGTATGAAATCAATGATTGCGAGAATGTTTTGCTTTGTTTTTCTTTTCTTTATAGTAGCCCATATATGCTTTGGAGAGGGCATTATAGGGCCCACAAACTGAAGTGTGAACTATAATCATTACTGAGGACGTTTCAGATGAAGAAGCTAAGCTTGGAAGAGAGTCACGCTGAATATTTGTCAATCGTGTAAATTGTGTTCGAAGAGGATTTTCAAGATATATCTACACTGTGGAAAATAACTTCAGAAAAATATCTCCACAGCGATCGCCGTAAAAGATTTTTGAGCAATTAAGATAATCTCTGCAATTTTTGACGATTAACGATTCTTTTAGGACAAGAATCTGGACCCGCCATGCAAGCTTAGAGCTGATAATGCTAAGGTAAGTCCATTAATAAAGTACTATAAAAATTATGCGAATGAGTTCGCGTTTTAGCTATTTTGTGTATGCGACTGAATTTTGAGTCTATAGTTAAGAGGAGGTGTGAGCCGCAGTTTCAAGAGCCACGCTCAACCAGAATGCATTGCAGAGGTGGTGGTGTTCTCAGCATTTTCTGTATTACAAACCACGCTCTTTAGATTTTTAAGTGTCCATCGCCTGTTTGCTATGTATCTTTGTCGTTTCATTCCGCGTTCGCGATAATTAAGCCATGGAAAAGGGGTCGTCCTATACGGATGGAAAGCCACCATATAATATGGTTTATTTGACCAATTATTTAAATATGGAATGAGCGAAAGAAAACGATAAGATTTTGCGAAAAAGCCAAAAAACAGTTCACAGAAAGCTCCTTTACGCTTTTTGGTGACCGTTAGACGGAGAAACGTTTACGGTGCATTGTATAGAATCAGTAGCTGTTTGCCCGTCTTACAAACTCTTCTATTTTGTCTTTGGTTCTATTTCACAGAAAGAAAACTTCGTCAATATACTGACCGAAGAACTTTGCAGTTCGTATTTTGTTTCTCTCTTCCTATTTAAGACGTGCCTTTTGTGCGATTCGTAGAGTTTACTTGCAATATATAGTTCCGCTGACGATGTACCTAAGGCGCAGTTTCCCACGCCATGTGCGCTGCTCATAGTTTTTTGTCGCTTTTGCCGAGTTGCTATCCTGTAAGAAGCAATAACTTCGAATCGTCACCGGATAGATCCTCGTATGTAAATCGTTGTGGTCGTTATTTACAAGAATTCAAGGTATCTGGACGCATACAAGTTGTGGTGTTGTGCATATTTCCGCCAATCGTAGTTGGCCCTTACCCTGATTCTACTCCGTTGTACAGTGATATTAGACTAGTCGAGAACATGAGATAATTCTGAGTTTGAGTTGACTAGGAAAAAAAAATCATGTGACGCTAAACCCTAAGGAACCAAACTATGTTGTTTATGGAAAACAAGTGCCCCTCCGAGTAAAATGGGTTCAAATGTCAAAATTGTGTCATTCAAATTCCCGACAAAAAATCAATAAGTGGAAAGAAAATGTAAATGCCCTGCCAATGATTCCTTGTTTTGCCAGCTTCTTTCCATATTAAAAGGCTAAGAATTTGCGTAGCAGGTTTTGTGTGTCGTTCCACTTCAGAAGTAACAATTCGAATAAAAGTGTTCCTAGACATTTTGTTGTCGTTACCATCAAAAGATTGTAAGCATTTTGGGCCACTTTAAAAAAATACCATAATGCTTGTTGGTTTGTTTGTTTGTTTGTTTGCAGCGTGTTGCTCGCCGCACAGGGCGCACTTGTTACACCTCATGCTCTTGACAACTGATTCATACTAAATGGGTTTTAAAAACTAACTACAATCAATACTAAATCAAAATTCGTGAACTTTAAAATATGTCTCAATCCTAAAAAAAATACCGAGAAATTCCTTTAAATGTCTCTTGAAGGTTGGAAAATTGGCATATTACTTACTTCATGTGGGAGAGAATTCTAGAAACTCGTTGCACGATATGAAAATGTGCGTTGCCCAGAAGCTGACTTATAAGCTGAGATATTCAAGTTATGTTTATATCTGGTATTACAATCATGAACGCAAGCACGTGTCTTAAATCTATGACAAAGGTAGCTGGGGGCTAACCCCTTGACACATTTGAATGCTAAAACTCCAAGTGTGTATTTAAGAAAACTGTATACGGGGAGCCACCCTAGCTCTCTTAATAGCGATGTTATATGATCAAATTTCCGCTTTCCAGTGATAATTCTACAAGCGAGATTCTGAAATTTCTGCAATTTCGAAATATTTTTCATGGAAGTATTAGACCAAACCGCAGAACAGTAATATAGCTTACTATACACTAAAGCATTTATGACCCGTTCTTGTGTCTTAGCATCAAACAGATGCTTTACCTTATTAATCTGACATACGCTACCTATGCACGAAGACACTGTTTGGGTAACATGTTCATCATAGCTTAGAATACTGTCTATCTGCAAGCCAAGATCCCAGGCAGAAGGAGATGGAGTGACCTTCTTTCCAAGAAGAGTGACATGAAAATCAGCGGGCAGCCTCTGACGCATCTGACGTGTGCCCAACACCAGCAGCTTGGTTTTCTCTGGATTTATGAGAAGGCTGTTGTAACAACACCATCTTGCAATTTTTTTAAAGTCCTTGTTGATCTGTTGAGTCATAATGCTAGCTTCAGCAACTGGGAATGAAAGATATAACTTCGAATCATCAACATGACTCTAGAGAACACACGTCCGGTATAGAAGGAATGTTATTGAGGTAGATGGTAAACAAGGCGAGTCCCAAGACTGAACCCTGTAGGACACCATGTGAGATAGCTCGCAAGCTTGAGGTCTCAGCGCCAATCCTGACACATTGCAGCCGTTCAGAAAGGTAGCTTTTGAACCAATCCAAGGATGCGCGAGAAACACCTAGCGCATGTAGTTTTGCAAGGAGAATTCCATGATCTATACTGTCAAATGCCTTAGAAAAGTCCAAAAGTACCACAAGTGTGACTTTCTTTGCATCCATAGCCTCCAGTGCCTTATGCGTGATCATGACACTAAGGGTTTCTCACGAATGAAGTTTTTTGTTACCACTTTGGTGTTCACTAAGGCGCTTTTTGGCTGTCATATATGTCATTAATTGATTCAGAGCGACACGTTCACAAATCTTTGACGCAGCAGGAAGTAACCCGTGCCACGTTCTCCCGCCTCCCCCACGGTACTTGTGTTCCCCCTTGCCTCCCGACTACCGCCCTCCATTGTGTTGCTCCCGTCTTCAGGTTAATCAAGAGGATAAGAAACCGGGGTTTAACTTTGAAACAGAGCTTAAAGTTAATATTCTTGTTCATTTCGGCCGCCCTTTGTTTTGGCTGGGGATCATTAGTTCCCGATGAAAGCTACTACTGGTCAGTTTTCTTACTAAACTAAGTTTCACTAACCGGGTTATCACAGTTTGATCGTCGCTTCTGACATCTCGTCAAAGAGACGAAAGTCTCTGCTCACTGTGTGATGTAATAGCTATTGCCAATTCAAAATCAAATGAAAAAATCAAGAGGTAGACGTAACGTTTAGAGTTTGCTTCTTCTGTATT